TTGCATGGCATTGTTTTCAGGTGACAAGAAAAAAGTACCTAACTTGAGCAATTTGCCCCCAAATCTTTCTTACTGTTTTTAATATGTTTAATAGATGCAGAAGAAAACACTCTAAACCAATTTACTGATGAAGCTCGATCGTTAATGACCCTTGCTGAATCTTCGTTTCAAAATGCTGCTAATGAACTCGTAACAGGCCATATTCTGATTAAGGATTTGGAGCTAATTATAAAAAATAAGACACAATTCATAAGTAAGTCCCTTTTGCTTATACTAATGGAGAGAGGGATGAATTGTGTGAATGTAGTTTAATCGCGTGGTTAATTGGGTTTTATGAAATCATAAATCACCAGGACAATAAAGAAATACATATTTTGTTTTTATGCGGAGTCATCTTAGAGCAGAGTTCCCCAACCTTCCCGTCTTTGCGGATCAGCAGGGCTGGGTCAGGGATGGTTCCATGCACACTTGTTGGCTGCTCCTGCAAATGGAGCTGCTGATCTTATACAGTGCTTTACATCAGAAAGGGGCCTTGTGTAGTGGTCTAGCAGTGGGGGACACTCCCTAAAGAGGTGCATTTGGCTCCCATTCTCCCAGTCCTTAGGAAGGTGGCAAGCTCTTCTTTGTTAACTATTTTAATTATTGGTTTTACCTTAGGTTTTTTTTATTTTAATTATAATTTGCTATGTTATATTGATTTAATAATCCATTAAATAAATAATTGGAGCTGTACTTTTCTTGAACTGTTAAGTGAATTGCAGTACCATTATTCTTGTAGAACCCTGATGTGAAAAAAGGGGGCTGGGAAAGTATGGAGGAATGTTAGAAATAAAGAAGCCGGAGATAAGATTTCATTAATACTATAATTTATTTGCACTTCAACCCAAACTACAAAAGGGGAAGGGGAATTCACTTTGCGCTTTCAGACTTCTATGCAATCCTTCCTTCCTTCCTTCCTCCCTCCCTCCCTCCCTCCCTCCCTCCCTCCCGCCCGCCCGCCCGCCCGCCCGCCTGTCTATGAGGAGATTGACACCCTGATTAGCTACATTATTTCACTAAATTCAAACCACCACACACTTTATCTTTTGGCAGGCTTTCTTTTATTATCTCTAGACAGATTTTCCTAGCTCCCTCAGTAACTTACATAAACTTTTTTGCTTCTAGGAACTTCAATTTGTGGTGCTATCTAATTCAACAGGATGTATCAGTTTGTTGTATTAGAATGGCTCTACTTTCATTTCAGATAGCTATGCAAGAGTATTGTTCTTGTACCCCATACTATACTGTATGTACATTGGGGTTCTTAGGTCCTCTAGTTGATTTCCACATTTTTTTAAATCATGAAATCACTGAATGTGGTTTTGGAGGTGTCAGCTGAGGCATCAGCAAGATGCAGACGCTTACTCAATCCACTAGGGCAGTGATGGCGAACCTTTTAGAGACTAAGTGCCCAAACTGCAACCCAAAACCCACTTATGCATCGTCGAGTGCCGGGTGGGTGTGGCCCATTGGCTGGGCGTGGCTGCGGTGGTAACGGCAGACTGGGTGGGACTAAAAAGTTCAATCAATCAATTCCAACTTTGCAAGATCTTTTTTTTTTCCCGCAAGAAGTTGAAATTGACTGATTGAACCTTTTTTTTTTTGCACATGGCGGTGGAGGCCTAAAGTGAAAAGGTTTTATAAAACCCAGCTTAAGGCCTAGGACTGGGGCGACGGCACGGGTGCCCACAGAGAGGGCTCTGAGTGCCGCCTCTGGCACCCGTGCCATAGGTTCGCCACCACTGCACTAGGGCAATCCTACCTGGACTGATACATCCTGTTGAACTAGATAGCATCACAAGTTGAAGTTTCTAGAAGCAAAAAAGTTTAAGTTACTGAGGGAGCTAGGAAAATCTGCCTAGAGATAATAAAAGAAAGCCTGCCAAAAGTTAAAGTGTGTGGTAATTTGAATTTAGGGAGCCCGTTTGCCTTGAGATGTTAGTCCAGTAGCATAAATTCTTTACCTCTGTACAGAAACAAAGTTTTTTAAATGTGCCCACCCACATTTGTATGATGATTGGTTAATTTATACCAGCTTTGAACCATCCAGCTTTGGGCTGAGCCAACAATCTCCCATTGGGATTACTATGAGGGGTTGCCTTTAAAACTAGACCAGTTAGTTCCGCAAAACAACTAGATTATTTATTGTAGCTGCAGCTTTGTCATTTTACACTGCCTAGAGTCCATTTTGAAACCCGGTAATAACTTTTAAATTCCTAAGCAATTTGACACCAAGTTATTTGCAGGAATGTTTCCTCCTGTATTTACTTAATAGCGCCATAAGGTCTTAAATTGAGACTTCACAAGTTCCCCTGCCCATTGAGGATAGATGCTGACTGAAGAAAGAACCGTATGGGTCCAACTCATCTATGGAGCCATCTCACATAGGATACTTAAATTATGTTACCGTATTTTCCAGCGTATAACACGACTTTCTAAACCCTGAAAATCTTCTCAAAAGTCGGGGGTCATCTTATACGCCCAGTCGCCTTATACGCCGGAAAATACGGCCGAGCCGGCCACATGTTTCCCCAGGCCAGGCTGGGCCGGGCCGCAGTCATGGCTGGTGTGGCGGCCGTGGCGGCCGGCGGGACCATTGCACCCCAGGAAGCCGAGCCGGCCGTATGTCTCCCCAGGCCGGGCCGAGCGGCAGTCATGGCTGGGCTGGTGGCCAGCGGGGGCATCGCACCTCGGGAAGCCGAGCCAGCCACATCTCTCCCCGGGCCGGGCAGCAGTCAGGCATGAAGCTCGCCTGGCTGCCGCAGGGCTCTCCGCTGCCCGGCCCCATCGGTGGCGCCTTCCTCGGCCACTTTCGGGGAGCTGCCGCCGCCCTCGGTACTACAGGAGAAGACCTTGGGCTGCGAGGGCGGCGGGTCTGGCGGCGATCGGGACCCCCCCTCATCCCCGCGGCGGCACTCCCCATTGCAGCCGCGGCCGCCCATGGTGCACCCGGCCTTGGCGCCCTCCTCTTGCGACGGCGAAGTGGCTGAGGATGCGGCGGGAGTGGCGGCCGGGTCAGGGGCGGTGGCGGTGACCCCGATGATGCTGCAATGTTCGCTGCCGGAGCCGCTGCCTCCCCGCCCGTTCGGCTGAGGACACAATGGGGGCGGCGGCCGGGAGCTGTTGCCTCCCGTCCTGCTCCCCTTCCCTTCCCATTCGGCGCCGTCTGCCTTTCATTCTCTCTCTCTCTCTCCTAACCTGGAGGGAGAGAAAGAGGAAAGAAAGAAAAGAGAAAGAGAGAAAGAGAGAGGAAAGAGGGAAAGAGAAAGGAAAGAAAGAGGAAAGAGAAGAGAAAGAGAAAGAGGAAAGAGAGAAAGTTAGAGGGAAGAGAAAGGAAGAGAAAGAGACAGAGAAAGAGAGAGGAAAGAGAGAGAGAAAGTTAGAGGAAAGAGAAAAAGAGAAAGAAGAGAGAGAAAATAGAGAAAGAGGAAAGAGAGAAAGAGAAGAGAGAGGAAAGAGAAAGATAAAGAGGGAGAAGAAAGGGGGAGAGGAAAGAAAAAGAGGAAAGGGAGAGAAGGAGAGGAAAGAGAGAGAAAGAGGAAAGAGAGAAAATGAGGAAAGAGAAAAAAAAAGATTGAGAAAAGAGAAAAGAGAGAAAGGAAAGAAGAGAAAGAGAGGAAAGAGAAAGAGGAAAGAGAGAGACAGAAAGAGAGGAAAGAGAGAGAGAAAGTTAGAGGAAAGAGAGAAAGAGGAAAGAGAAAGAAAGAGAGGAAAGAGAGACAGAGAGAGAGACCCTTTTGACATCTAAAATGAAGATAACACTGCATATATCCTTTTTTACCTTTATTTTATATATATACACACACACACACACACACACACACACATATCATAAAGGTAAAAAAAGGATATATGCAGTCTTATCTTCATTTTAGATATCAAAAGGGTTTTGCGGCTCCCAGTGTTTTGTTTTCGGTGGGAAACGTGTCCAAGTGGCTCTTTGAGTGTTTTGGGTTGCCTACCCCTGATATAGCCCAAACTCTATATTTTAACTGGAAAAGTTGGGGGTCGTCTTATACGCCCAGTCGTCTTATATGCCGGAAAATACGGTACATGCCGTGAAAGATCTGTTCGCTTTTTTCCATGCAGCTTAAAAAACATTTTAAAGATATGTACTTTTATACAGAATGCTAGGATGTTCTCATTTTGGACCATGCTAATGCAGCTGTGCCAGGGATGGAGGCTAATTTTGAAAGAAAAGAAAATCTGGAAATTGGAGCAAAAAAAAAAGTTCCAAAAAAGGTGGAACAGAAGACAGTCTGTTTATGAGATGGCCTCAGATTGGCCTAGTTTAGAAAAAGACATATATTCCAATGTCCCCTAGAATCTCCTTCCTAAGAATACTAAATTTTACACATTATTAGTGTTTTGGCATTTTAGAACTTCAGGATTATTGCTATTATGATTTTATATCTGTTTATCTGCTGTCTAGATGGGTTTTAGTGTTTTATATTGCTTATAGATTTTTGACTGTGCATTGTCTGATGAATCCTCTAATCTGCTGGTGTAAAATAATAATAATAATAATTCCCAATTTTGATTATAGAATGCACAGAACAGTCACTCCCAAATGAATTACTTGAAGGACTGAAATTAGAAAAAGTTTTAGATCTGAGACGACACGAAGTATTGCATGTCAAGAAGGAGCAAAAATCCTTGGGAGTCCTTTTGGATATGTTGAGGAAGGTTCAGTGCTATTTAAAAGGTATATTTTTTAAATGACGATCATTTTAAAATCAGTGTTTATAGTTTCTTCTGCAAATTGCTATTTGATACTTCTTTGCAGTTATTTTTAATATCCTCCTAAAATATATGGAAGGATGAATGGGAAAGCAGCTGAAAATTCTAAGACGAGAGAAATGGAATAATACAGATATGAAAACACAAACTCTTTAGATTGATGCTCTGAAATGAATCTTTGGGCAAGTTCTATCAAATGCTTAAATGAACTGAAAATTACTATGCTTCAACTTATGTTTTCCCCCCTTTTTAAAGTTGATTTCACTGAAGTGGAACAAAAGCACAGCGGAAATCTGTCACTGAAAACTTTGGATGCTGTTGTGAAAGTGAGAAAACCCACTTCATGCAGTGATGATGGAATAGGGACCTATCTCCATTTGAGTGAAGAGCTGAAAGTTGTATCTAAATGTGTGGATGATTATAAAGATAACCACATTTTCCTGCATTGCTGGGAGCGGGCAGCCAAGAGGCTGATGAACAACATGGAGGAATTATGCACTGAACAAACTCTAGATATGGAGGAAGTCTATGATTGCTTATTTTATCCTTGTTATAAGGAGTTCCAAAGGATTTATGACAGCTTGAAATTGGGATACCTCACATTTGCTGAAGTGAATGTTCTCTTCAAAGATTTTAATAATCATTATGAAGAACTCAGACGTGATTTCCAAAGTATGTGCCAACTGCAGTATCAAGATAATGGAGAATGGATAGATGAACGGATCCAGCAGATCCAACAGTATCATGAATTGGATTTGGCATTGGATTCTGCTAAAGTTATTGACAAAGTCAAGGAAGTTTTGAAACTTACTGGTAATTTCTGTGTCCTGCAGCAATTGCTGAACTTAGTAAGTACATTTCTTTAACTTGCCATTCAAAAGATAGTCCAGTAAGCGAAAAGTTTCAGTCTCATAAAATTATAAAAGTGTGATATGTAGTGGCTACATGCTCTACTGATATGGCCCTTGAGCTGTTGGAAATTACAAACCTCTGCTGTATTCCTACATTTCCTAAAAGGAATGGTGTTTAGGGGAAAAAGTCAGTTCTGTGAATCTATAAGACCAAAGGGATAAAAATAATAATAGAAGTCTGTGGAACAAAGGGGGGAAGGAATTTGTGTGTTCTTAACATGCAGTATTCTTATTATATGTAATTTATTCTTCAGACAAGTGAATTCCAGTCCTTTCAAGAGGAAATACTTTCTTCTATGAGCTCTTCCTTGATGCATGCTAAGAAACTGCTGCAAGATATTACTGAAAAACGTCGCCTGTGCCTTGAAGAGCTAGCACTTAGGAAGGAGTTCGTTAACTGGGTCAAAGAGGCTTTGGAAGGTAGAACAGATATATCTCTGGTGTTTCCCCAAGAAAGTTTTAACTGTATGTTGGGTCAAACTGTTGTATTCTCCACTCTGTTTATCAGGAAGACACCTGGACAGAGAAAACATAAGTTTAATGAAAGTTTTATTTATCTTTTTGAATATTCTTTCTCTTTTCTCAGTCTGACATTTTGGTACTTCTACACTTTCTCTTTTTTTTCAATATAAAATTTTTATTATTTTCAACATAAAAAAAGAAAAACATCACAAATATTACACAATGCTATGAAAAAAACCCCCACCCCCCCACCCCCCCGGACTTCCCAAACCTAATCCCAGGATAATATTCAGATATAAGTAAACAAATATTAATATCTCTAACTCCACAAAGTGTATTATTCTACATGAATAGGTGAAATATATTAAAGAAAAAAAAAGAAAAACAGATTTACTGGAAACCTAGGTTATATTCCACCACTCTATGCTTCTTTTAAATATAAACAATCCATCTTCTCCATATTATCCTTCTAATATGTCCTTTAGCACCGTCCCTTACTTGTTTCAAAAAATTCCCATCTTCCATAGAAAAAATCATTCATTGAGATTAATTTTCCCTATCACAAATAGCTCTTCGTCTCTCTCTATTACAACATAGTTATCATATTTATAATAATAATGTAAGTCCAAAAATACATTTCTATTTTTTAAAAAATATATTCTATCATTTCAGCAATCTACATCTATAAAAAATCTTTTTAAGCCCTTGATAAAGTTTACACCTTCAAATACTTATCAACTATAATATCATTTTTTAAAAAAAATATTCTACATTTCATCAATCTACATCTATAAAGTCTTTTTACCCCCTAAACTACTCCCTCAAATACTTATCAACTATAATAACAGTAAATCCACATCCTTCATTCGTTGTTAAATCAGAAAAAATCTTTAAAGCCTTTTTAACCCATCAAATAACATTTTATGTCACATTTAAACCTGACTCTAGTTTTCTTTCTATACCAAGTTGATTCCCATATTAAAGCTTTTCGGTTATCAAACCTCAAGATTTGATTACAAAAATTTCTAATCAATTCAAACTGAGCAAAATTTTCTTCCCTTTCTACCAATATCATCTGAGTATTATATTGACTTTTACTCGATGTTATGAATAAATTATCCGCTTTATTGTATTTTCTAGAAGGTTGTATCTGAATATCAATCTTTGTTATTTTTAATAATTGAACTGAGTCAATTGCAGTTACTTCTTGATCATCAAAATTATCCATCAGTTGTAGGTAACGTTTTGTGGAATTAGTTAGCTCAATGGTTTCCACATTTTCTCCCAGTATAGATTCACAATTGGATTGTAAGCATAGTGTCTCTGTCTCTTTAAATTGTATATCTTGATATGTAAAGGCCTGTTCAGGATTACTCAGTTCATCTTCTATTATTCCTTGTTCCATAACTTGATTCATTATTAGAGAGTCAATGTGAGGTTCCAAAGTAGCCTCTATTTTTTCCAGTATTAAATCATAGTCAAGATGTGGATAACTTTCATCCACTGCCACCGCATCTACAAATTCAGCCAAGCCTTGAAAAGCAGTTGCCACATTCAAACAAAAATCCTCATGTTTCTGTGATAAATCTTGTTGTTGTTGTAATAAGTCCTGTTGATGTTGTATTACTTGGTCAAATCTATTTTGCATTTTAACATCCATCGCTTGAAACATCTCAGTCATTTGTTTAGTAGTTACAGACATCAAGTCCTGCAGCTCTCTACCAGAGGGTGGTGGAGGTGAAGAAAATGACGGGGGTAACGGGTGGGAAATTTTAGAAGTTAATTGAAGTGTCTGCAACATCGGAGATGTAGTCAGTTTTAAAGTTAAAGGCACGGTTTTTCTCAAAGCCATGTTAGCAGTAGATTTCCAATTATAAAAGAGTCTTATAAGCAATTCAGCCAAAACAAGTAATACGCAGATTCAAAGTAACAAAAATTCCAAACCGGAAATCACTTTCACTTCTTGCTGAAAAGTATCAATCCATCGCCATTTTAAGTTCACTTTCCCTCAATCCACCACAAGTATAGGGAAGAACTTATTATCCAAGTTAGAGTAAAGTCCAAGATAAGAAGCAAACTTCCAGGGTCGGTTCGTCTGCTTACAAAAAAACCTCACAATTCACTTTAAGTTGCAGCAGTGGCGGCGGCTTCTAGCTTCGCCGAAGCGAAGNAAACCTCGGGGCTCCGGAGGAGTTCTCACCTACATCGTCCACATGGGACGACTCGGGAACTCAACTCCTACCCCGGGCAGCTCACCTATCCCCTTATGCCCAGGGGAAGGGTATCAAGCCGTTTGACAGCTGATGCTAGCTGTCAAAACGGCTTTTACGCTGAAACAGGCGGGAGGCAGCAAATAGCTGCGTCCGACGAAGTCGCCTGCCACCGGAAGTCTCCTTCTACACTTTCTCTTCTTTGGATTTTTCATTTGCATGTACATTGAAGAACATATACTTGAATGTGTATTTCCTTTTTCTACTGTTACCCATCCAGAGATAAAGCATGAATTAAACCTTGACAAATAGAACATCTAGATCAGAGTTCCCCAAACTTTGGGCACCAGGACCTGGTTCTGTGGAGAGAGATTTTTCCGCAGACCGGAGGGTGTGTGGTTTTGTGTGCTGCCTGCAGCCTATGGATGGGGCTTTGTGTGGACCGGTTGCTGGCATGCCGCGGCCCGGTACTGGTCCACGGATTGGGGGTTGGAGACCCCTGATCTAGATGCACAATCCTGTGTAATCAAACCAAGTCACACATATGCTATTGTGAATAAATGCCGTAGGAAAAGGTAAAGATTAAAGAAATGTTTTCCCTTCAGATTCCTGTGTAAGAGGAATTCAGGTATGAGGCAATGATACTTATAGCTTAGGTCTCCTTGCCCTGCCAGAATGAGAAACTGGCCTTTTAAGAAGGAGCTAGGCTATCTTAGTATCATTGAGGACTCAAATGCAGAAGTGTTATATCACAAGGCTGAAAGAATGGAATGAGAAGGAGAAAAGCGAGCAGAGCAAACCCCAGAGATTTCGAAGGTACAGTGGAGAACAAGAGGCCATCAGTGATAGCAGCAGCAGCAGCAACAACAACAGAAAGATCAATGTTGGGGGTGGGGCAGAGAGATATTAAATGGTGTGGTGATGACAGGATCACTACAGGAGCCAGCAGCAGATTAATATTGGGTGGTAGCTACTAGACATGGGGAGTGTTGATGTAGACAGCTGAGGAAGCTGAAAAGATGGGGCTGCCTAAAGCACCAGCCATTGGAGCCTGAGATGTTGTGAGATACCCCAGAGAATCCCAGGGTGCTGGTAACAACCAGACAGAGGCCAGTAGGTATGATGTAGCAGGAAAAAAGTCTGCTCACATTTCAAAACTTCTATCAAGCCACAAAGCCAAGAACCTGTTCCCAACCCAAAGTCTAAGTGCAGCAATATAATACTAACTGGGCAGGCAGAGAACTGTGCTGTGATTTGGCCGATCTGAATAAAGATAATGGAAGAGTAAAGAGTAAGACATTGTAAGAAAGATGGAACTAAGACATAGGATAAAGTAAGATAAAGGCTATAATTAGATGAATGCTGGAAAAGAGTAATTCTGAATCAAAGTGAAGGTTATAGCTATAGCTTGTCTGTAAAGTGGTAATTATAAAAATACCCTATTTCTGGGAATCCATGTTGCTTTATGCCTGAGTGCCCATAGCCCTAGGTTTAATCTACAATATATAGGAAAGTGGCTCATGAATATTTGGAGGGAGGAGGAAAGCTAGAAAAATTAATAGTAATAGCAGCAGTAATTAATGTTGTTGGCACCATGTGAGGCTTAACATTATAGGATGACAGGAGATTGAGCAACAACAATATCTTTCTTTGTACTAGTCCTCTCCATGGAACTAGTATACGGATACGATTACTGCACATCACTCTAAGGATCTCTTGGTAATAGAAGAATTTGGGTGCAAGTGGAGAACCTGCTACTACTTCTGAACATTGACAAATAAAGACTTTGAGGACTGTTTTGTTTTCTACTTTTGGATTTTAGTCATAGCTGCAAGTGCTATTTTGTGGGATCAGCAGGCAAAAGCTTCCAGGGATTACTACCCATGGTGGTTTTGTTTTGGAGGTGTGTTATGAAGAGTCTGAATTTGTTAAGACTGGAAGAAAGGAATGACAGGAATAGGCTACCCCTGGTCAGCACTAGCACTAGCACTTAGACTTATATACTTCTTCATAGTGCTTTACAGCCCTCTCTGAGCTGTTTACAGAGTCAGCATATTGCTCCCAATATGGGTGCAGTCTGGATCCTCATTCTACTGACGTTGGAAACATGGAAGGCTGATTCAACCTTGAGCTGGTCAGGATCAAATACCTGGAGTGAGCAGTGAGTTAGCTTGCAATATGGCATTCTAACCACAGTCTAATACACTGTATCCTGACCCTCCTTTCAGCTGGTAGCAGTGGCACTCTAGCTTTAGGCCAACTCAACACTGATCTGCTCTCCTTAAGTGTGTTAGAAAGTGGTAAAATACTTCTGATCTTTCTGACTTCTCTGTATTCGAAAATTATTTCTCAATTAAGCAGCAAAATGTTCATACGGTATATTTCACATAGCTTGTTAGTATTGAGAGGCCTATTTCAGTAGTGGATCTTGTGACTTTTTTCATGTTTGTAAAGGAAGATGACCTGGGATGGGCTTGTTCTCTGCCATGGTGATCTTCATGTATCCTCATATTCATGCAGATATCAAACAAAATAGTTTGTGCTTTGCCTTAGAAATAAAGAGGAAGGAACAAAGGTCAGTTTGATTCCCTTAGGAAAACTCCCAAAGGAAAAGGCTGCAGATGAGCTAGTATCAATATCAGACCACTCTACTATAATGGTGAGTTAAAGCACCATCAGAGAGGATTCTGGGGAAAATAATTTGAATAATGGAGGAAGTGGCTGTCAGGTAAAGATGTGATGATGGCTAAAATGGCTGCTGAACCTGGACTGTCATTTATTGGCTTCAGGTTGGTTAATAAACCTGAAATGGACTGAAGGCTTTCCGCTAATTTGGATTTATGGTTGCTGAGAAAGACGTGGGACAAGACTTAACAAAGTTTTGAGGGGGGAGGACTGGAGAAAAGAGAGATGAAGTGGAATAGCATGATGGGGGACATAGGTAGATGACCCTGGGGTACGCCTGAGAATGAAAATAAATGAAACAAAATCATGCGTGCTAGAGAATAACCAGCCAGTCATCTGCCATTTCATCAACCTGAAAGTGAAAGGGACCCAGTAATCCCTGGGAGCTTCTGCCTGCTAATCAATTTAGGAAGCCGTTTTCTTGAACCTAAAAGAATAGAACTAGTAATCATAAGCTGAGTGAGGTGGGTTTTCATCAACTTAAAGCTTCTTGGGAAAGTGAGGAGCTGCTATCTATGTAACTGTATTGCTGCCTTTTAATTTTTTTTAATATAGTAGCCAGTGTGGAATGGAACATTTCCAATGTTCAGAATGCTGGGTTTTCACATCTCCATTTATCATTATTGCATTATTATCATTATTGTTTATTTTTGTATAAAAAAAACAAAAAAAGCAATTATAAGCCATCCTAGAAAGCACTTCAATACATCCAGGGAAGCCGTTCATAGAATATAAATTTCCTTTTTACCTCACAAAGTGCTTTCTTCCTTTCTGTTAGACAAAAATGAGCTGAAAGTGTTTGTGGAGCTGGCTTCAATATCTGCAGGAGAGAATGACATGGATGTGGATCGTGTGGCTTGTTTCCATGATGCTGTGTTTGGCTACTCCTCCCTGCTGTATGATTTAAAGCAAGAGGCAGGATTTAAGGAATTCATGAAGTGTTTGGAGAATATATGGAAAGCTCTGGAAAGTGATCACAACCTTCCCGAGAAGCTGGTAATTACTGTAGCAGCCTTGTATCTTTCCATTACTCCCCTTTAAATGGCTGTGCATTTGATAAAGATGCTTTATGCTTATAGCATATTAATTAGTAAAAATATTCTTTGAACCTGAAGTCTACAAACCACTTAGGTGCTCTGCATTCAAAGAGAAAGTTATATTTTTCCACATGAAGTCCAGTTTGCATATTATGTCAGTTGGCGATTTTAGTGAAATTAAACTTAGGTAAAATATGCTTGAAAGCCCAAAAAACAGTGGGGTAGAAATTTTAGAATGTCTGCTTCAATTTTGTCTATTTTACCTGACTTAGGAAAGATACAAGCTAATGGGAATATTCCTTCTCATATCTTCTCCCTGTAGCGTGATTCTGCAAGATACTTGGATTGGTTAAAAACTATCAAAGAGAGTCATGGCTCTGTGGAGTTGTCTTCTATATCCCTGGCAACCAGAATCAATGAGAAAGGAATCTACAGAATTAAGGCCCCAGTGGAGGGACAGAAGGTGAGACATTGCTTAAAAATGATTTCCAAACAGGTCTGTTTTTTCTTATTTTCTGCTAATTTCCACAAAACTATTTTTAAATGTTCTGTGTGCATTTAATTTGTTTGCCTCTACTGCTGAACCAGCTCTATCTAGGTGGTGTAAAATAAAATAAGGATTAAACACCGAAATACAGTAATATATGAAAAGTATATTATTGCATTAAATAGCCTACTTGTAATGAAAAGGAGTTAGCAAAAAAAAAAAAAAGGGTATTCATGCAATTTTACCCCCATTAACATTTTAAATTGCATTTCAACTATATTACAATCATGTTTAAGCATACTTGCTAATAAATTGCTTTCTTTATGAGTGTCTAATGTTTACTGAATTAATACATTTTAAAAACGGACAGTCTTCATTATGTATATATTATGTTTTGTTGTAAGGTTTGCCTGGACACTATTCTGGACCTGACCATCCAAGAAAGTCACGGGGACCAAGAGAATCGGACGTATTCTCTGGAAGAGCTTCAAGAACTAATGAACAAGTTGATGTTGATGTCTGGAAAAGAAGAACAAAGTGCACAAGTGGAGAAATTTTCTGAAGTAAGCTTCCTGAAACAGCCTGATGCTAATTAAGAGGAATTGATGATTTTATATACCCAAAGTATTTAAAATAGATATATTTTGTATATAAAGATTATTGCTTATTGCTCAATTGTAATTGCTATTACAGTACTTGTAATTGTAATGGTCAGGAGGTTTCTTTGGGGAAAATGGGATTGTTTCATCTCTTTGTGATATTATATATGTTTTCATATCAGACTTTTGGATGGTAAAGCACATAGACACACAATTTGTAATCATTTCTAATAATAGTAAAATTGTTTCATTGCTACTACAGTGATTCAGTATTGTAATATCACAATGATCTCACTCTCATAGTCAGACATGGGCCTATATCTTATTTTTCTGGCCCTTTCCTGGATCTCTCATGCTTCCACAGTTCTATACTCTTTTCTGTTTGCTCACATATCTCCCCCCCCCCATTTACAGCAGCAAATATACTCTTAATGGTTTCTCATAGCTTATTTGTTAGAGCATACAATGGGCAGGACTTGGGAGCTGCACAGAAAATATTCCAAATAATCAAAATTGATTGAGGCTACATTGGGCATTTACCAAGATATATACATACACACATACACAAACACACATACACACATATACATACACACACACACACACATATATATGCTGGTCTTGGCGTATTCGGGTCTTTTCCCGTGTAAGATTGAGAGTATCTTGGCGACGTTTCGACGAGGTCCCACTCGTCATCTTCAGGCTGGGGTCTTCGGCTTCGTGCTTGTGCAAGCAAAGTGTGATCAGAGCTGCCGTCTCTCTATAAATATTGGTGGGGGTGTGTGGAGTGCTGGCTTAGTTGCTGTAGGTGGGTTGGTTGGCTGTGTTGGAGTTATTGTTTGTGGATTGTTCAGCTGTTTCGTAACATCCTGAGTAGTTGAGGTGCTGGCTGTGTGCCCATTAGTCTTTTGTGTTATAACGACCTGGGTAATGGGTTGTGTGATTACATCCTGAGATCTAGTGTAGTGATATCCTGAGTTTTGTGTTGCAACATCCTGGGTGGTTGGCTGTGTTGTAACATCCTGAGCTTTAGCGTTGTAACGTCCTGAGTTCTGTGATGTGATGTCCAGAGCAGAAGGCTGTGATGTAGCATACCGGGCTTTGGTTTGGCTCCGAGTTTGCGGTCTAATTCTGTGTTCACAACAAACAATAACTCCAACACAGCCAACCAACCCACCTACAGCAACTAAGCCAGCACTCCACACATCCCCACCAATATTTATAGAGAGACGGCAGCTCCGATCACACTTTGCTCGCACAAGTACGAAGCCGAAGACCCCAGCCTGAAGATGACGAGTGGGACCTCGTCGAAACGTCGCCAAGATACTCTCAATCTTACACGGGAAAAGACCCGAATACGCCAAGACCTGCATACCTGTACCTGTGAAAATCTATGGAAGTGTCTTGGCGACATTTCAACGAAGTCCCATTCGTCATCTTCAGGCTGGTGTTTTCGGCTTCGTGCTTCTAGGAGCAAAGTGTGATCGCAGCTGTTTCTTCCTTTTAACTGCCAGTGGGGGTATGAACTGATTGGGTGGAAGCTTGGCTGTGTTCTGATTGGGTGGAGGTGTGTTCTGATTGGTTAGGGGCTTGGCTGTGTTCTGATTGGATGGGGGGTTGGCTGTGTTCTGATTGGATGGGGATGTGTTCTGTCTGTAGTGCTCGGAATAGTCTGAGTTGCCGGGGGATTTGAGATGGAGAGCTGCGTTGCTGTTGTTTGGTATTGTGTTCGAGGTCGTGCCATATATTCATAGAGGATGTCAGTTTGCTTTATGTATGGATTGGAGGGGTTTAAGATGGCTAATGATGCTCCTAGAAGCACGAAGCCAAAAACACCAGCATGAAGATGACGAATGGGACTTCGTCCAAACGTCACCAAGACACTTCCAATTTTACGCGGGAGAAAACCCGAATAACCAAAGACCTACAAACACCCGCGAAAACCTAAGAAAACTTATATATATATATATGGAATGTGTTGTAGATCATACGGATCTGTGCATGGGAGTGAGGGGGGGAGGGAGAATAACAAGAGGGGGGAAGAAGAACCCGCACGGCAGTACAATGGGATTGGCAGGCAGGAGCAAAATGTGTGTGGGATTCGCAAGAGCATGGGAAATAGCCCGCATTCCCCCCCCCACCCCTTGGAAGCAACCACGCACAGAACGATAGAGGGACTGTATGTAAGAGAGGGGGAAACACCCGGATCCTGAATCCTCCTAATACCAAAACGGCAGGCAAAATAACACACGAGAGAACGCAAGCCTGGGGAAAGAAAGGAACGAACGTTGACGTAGGTAATGCATCCAGAATATGGCAGGATCAGCTGGGGCCAATTACGCGCTCCAGGAGCCGGAAACTGACACTTAACAACTGTATTTAAAGACTTTACTCAGCACTTGCCCTCAACTCTGACGATGTCAAGTGTTTTGACGAAAGCTAGGTTATTAAATTCTATATTTTTATAGATATTCTCTTGGTGGTCTTTATATCTTTGGCACCATGAACATTCCCAAGAGTCGAATTTTTGTTTTTATTTCCGAATGAAAATATATATATATATATATATATGAGTCTTTGGTCATTCGGGTTTTCTCCCGTGTAAGATTAGAAGTGTCATAGCGACGTTTCGATGAAATCACATTCATCATCATCAGGCTTGTGCTTTTAGCTTTGTGCTTCTCAGAGTAATATGAAATGTCTGCTGTTTCTTTCTTTTAACTGCCAGTGGGGTTTGAACTGAAGGGG